AATTTAATGATTTTATAGGAGGTGAAATTATTGTAGTCAAGTTCTGAAATATTAGTGGGTTCATGAAACATGGTATGTCCTATAGAACCTTCAAATTTTAGTAAATTTATGAAAACCATGATTAGGAAGAAACCATGCATTCTGCTGTATATTATGCACAGCATACATACAAGTTTAGGTAAAATCAGGTTCCAGCAACTTTCTTCATAGGACTGCAATGGAAATCTGTTTTTTATGTCCCACACTTATTGCCATCTTTGGAAATACACCAAGAAGTGTTCAGAGGTGTCTGAATTATCATATGTTAGAAATCTAGAAAACACCTATTATCTTAGCCACATTAGTTAGAATATTACAGGCAGAACTAGATAGGAATTTTTGGATGTAATTTCTTTCCTGTACATACACCTGACTTTTTGCAAAACCACATTATTTTTCATGATTTTTTCATTGTAAAAGTAGATAAAGTCAACAAAAAAAATTGCTAGTTCAAGTCCTGCTGAAAATGGAAACAAAGACCCCCCACATTTCAAAGTGACCCATAGTCCTTTGTCAGCAACATCTATCCTTGCCCAGACAAAAAATGTCATATGTCAATATCTTCACAAAAATAATTCCTAATTACAGGTCAAGCACCATTATTTGTCCATATATTTAGATATCTGATATGTCATTCTTTAAAGAGCTTCATGATTAGTCTCCATAAGGAACTTGTATGTCTTATTTAGAATATATCTCCAGAAAACAATGTTGAATATTTCTTAACTTACTAAGTCAGTTTCAGAATACCTTTAAATTCAAGTCTTCAGTCCTAAGTAGACAAGAGCTTCCTTTTGTTCCAGTTGTTCTGTTACTGGAAAATGCAGGCTGATGGAAATGGAAGAACATGGCTGTATATTTTATTCAATGACCTTGTAAATCTCAGGGGAAAAGACCTAAATTACAAATGAAAATAGCCTATGGTTTCTATCAAAACTTTCAGCAGAAAATGGGCATGTATTCAACACAGCTGTAGTTCAACTGAAGAATGGATCTGTAGTGCTACATGTCCCCAGATGGATGCCTGAATTTATGTTCAGAACATTTAAAAAAATTCAGCTGTCTCCTTATGTTTTTCTATCATGATTAACTGCTACTGTAAATCTTGCTTAAATGTGTAGTCCGATAATTCCTAAAGGTAGAAATAAAAGGTCTTAGGTTTGCACAGCTATGCACAGTCGAGGCCACAGAGGCCTAAGAACAGAAAAACACATCTCATCTTTTATTCTAATTCTCCAGACACACTAGAGACTAGGGAAGCTGAGCAGGGTCTGTCCCTTAACAGAAGGAGCTGGATTATGAAGAAGTACCAATTAAATTAGAATACTGCCAAGTGTCCTGAGTGCATGAAAATGTGATATTTTCACTTTTTTTTTTTTTTTTTTTTACACCTTTAGTAAAGAGCTTTGCTTAATCTTTTTCAGGTGGACAAATGTACAAAAGCTTTTGCAGTAATGATTGATGGACAGGATTTATCCATAAATTAAATGTTAGCTCTGTAGCTTTTTCCACAATACACCTTCAGTGGCTGTGAAAATATATCTTCTTATATCTTTTTAGTTTGTTTCATTCTTGCTTGGAAAACCTCTGTGATGTTCTTATTAATTTTCTGGACTAAATAAAGGATTGTAAGATAAACCTAAAGTAAGACTGTTGAAGAACTAGGATTTCTTGGTTTTACACCTCTTATAAAGAAGCAGGTTCTTCAGTGCTGCCAATCTATATGGGATATATTTAGCTTAGATTTTTATTTGGCTATCACCGTTAGTGGTGTTCTTTCCACTGTCACATTCAATCTGCATGACATCAGCATGTCACCATAGAACAGATGTCACTTTATTATGTAGGGGTTTTTTTGTTGTTGGCATTGTAATTAGTGATCTGGTCTTTCTTGATGTGCTACAATTTACTTGCAGCAATACAGGCGCTCTGATGGGGACACGGTGATATAACCTAGAGTGACAGCCAACAGAGTGGAAATAATCTCCTTAAATATTTGAAAAGAAAAATCTATCATCTCACTCAGCTAAACAGCCTGAAGGATCAAGAGTTGCCAGTCTTCTGTCTGAAAAACCCAAGTAGTTGTACAGCAAAATGGTACTTGGACTTGTTAACAGCTACTTGGATCACTAGCATCAATCATATAAAGATATTTAGGAGGTCAGTATAATAATGCTCTAATTTGTTCTAACACTGTTTCAATAATCAGTTTAAAACTCGTTAAAAAAAAAAATAAATAAAAAAAATATATATATATATACACGTTCAAACACTGAATCCAGGTCTTACAATTTTACTTCAATTTGGGTATAAGATAGAGCTTCTTTTATAGTGCTTGACACTGTGTCACTTTCTAATAACATAGCTGCTGGTAGTAAGAGGTTCAAAATGCCATTTGTAGTTAAAATCTCTATTTTCAGATACATTGTCTAGTTTATTCATGCAGAGAAGTCATTTTACCTTTTGACCTTTCTGCTGGACTGAACAAAATGAGTGAAGACGTATTTTAACAGTCCTTGTATTGGAGTGAATTGTGACCGCAGCTGAAATTGCCAGTCTCCTGTGTTACATTAATTTATTTGTAATACACTTGACCAAACCATTCCATTTTAGATACTTACTTCTTTTTGTTTAGATTTATAGTGAAGTTAAAAAATTAAAGTAGAAAATCAAAGCATTCTAGAGCATTTTAATCAGATATAAAGTACTACAACTGCAATGCTACACGCAAGCCTAGGTTTTAAAGTAAGATTTTTATTTAACAAATTTTGTTCATCTGCGTATTTACTTTTTATGGCAAGGAGTAGCTGAAAGCTTAAGCATAAGCCCACACACTGCTGAGGTAGGGCAAAATTCCAATTATTTTTTCCATGGGATAACAAGAAATTCTATGGAAGTTTAATGACCTAACAATAAAAAGAGCTTCAGGCCCTTTCAGAGATGCTACATGTCTTCACTCCTTCTCGATCTCTTCGGGAGCTGAAAGGATCTAAAAGCCTAGTGGACTGAGTCCTACCTGCTTAAGTCTGACCTCATCAAAACCCGATTTGTTTTCACTGCTACTTTCGAAAGCCTAGAGCATCCTTCAGAGCACTTGGTGGGAGCTGGCATGCCTTAGTACAAACAGTATCTCTGGGGGCTGGAAAAACTGAGTAGGTTATAAGGAGTTATCACAGAACTTGCAATTAAGTTAAGCATGACACGGATAGACACAAGAAGAGTAGCACATCACTCAGAAATTATTAAGAAGTCAGGCAAATGAGCAAAGGATCTGAAAAAAGCTTTAAAAGGCTACTCATAAGGACAGCTAACCGAAGAGAAAACCAAAAGAATTAATGGTCAAAGATTACTCTAAAGAACAGCAGGTACTGAGTGGAGACAACAGACACATGAGTAACTGTAGACCCCAAAAGTGTAAATTTAGAAAATGACAGAGGAACACATCACTCCGTGGTGCTACAGAGTAGGAACAAAGGGAGTTGACTGGTAAGCGCTGAGCAGGATATTGTTGCAGCAGCTTTCACAGACCCAATCATATACAAGGGCAGTGCTGACAAAGCAGTACAAGGTGAATTTGCTAATTCATGGCAATCTGCAAAAACCCCAATTCATGAGTGTCTATGACAGTAACATAACTATTTTGGATAATCAGGTAACATGGTACTAACTGATGTGCTTTTTTGCCCTCACTAGGTTTATGTGATCTTTATGAGTAACTTGAATGTCTAGGTTAATGGAGCTACTACCTGCACTATGACTTTCCGACTATGTGAAAAAGTATGAACACAGAGCTGATAGTATGAACAGTCACATAAACTTTTGGGTTTTTTTTCACAGAAACCATGCAAGTAAAAAAATTAGGCTGACACACTTCAGACTATTCGTGTCCATACCCATGTTTTATTACTTTAAGAAATTCTGCTTTTTGTGCATGATGCTTCATTTATTAGGGGTACTACACAAAGAATCAACATGAGAGTTTCTCTGTTATGTACATATTCTGTGTTGGAGAATGGCTTGCAGAGAGCAAGGCCATAGGTCTGTGCAGGAGCTGGTCGCAGCCACCTGAGGTAAACAGAGGAGAAAAAACAGGGTACAGTTACGCTAACAAGGAAGGAGATTCAAGGCTCAGTTATGCTAACAAGGACTGTTATGATAACAAAGAGAGAAACTGAGGTACACAATGGCCTTGAGTATGATGGGAAACAATCTTGGGGAAGAAAGCAGGCCAGAAGGAAGATGTTGTGACATAACTGAAATGCCACAAGGGGCTGGGATATTATAATGTAGCCTTTTACATGTATCCAATAGATTTGTGAGTAGTATGCATGATTATTGTAGAGTGCTTATATAAGGTGTGATTTCTTTCAATAAAGTTGAAGCTTGCTCTATCATTCGCATTGAATCGGCTGCTTGCTTCTTGCGCCCTCCGCAATTCTGTATGTAATTCTGTGTACACATAAAGCCACACACATAGATGGAGTTTGCAAATTCAGAGTGTGAATTTGATCTCAATGAGGCTGCAAGTCCGGGATGACACCACGACAAGGAACCTAAGAACCACATGTTCCCCTGACACAGAAAACCGGCCTCTTTCTGCCGGCCATTTGCAGAGGTCAAGAGACCGAATGCACGCCGAAGGGACCTCCTGGCGGGCAGGGCGGACAAGCCACGCGTGCCTGAAGGGCTCTTTTCCGTCAGCCCCTTGCCGCTCCCTTCCTTCCCTGCCTGCTCCCGCCCCGGCCGCCGGGCCGTGCCCGCGGGGCGCCTCAGCCCCACCTCTGACCGAGCACGTCTTCCGCCGGCCCTGCGGGGGG